TGAAGCACGCATGTCAACAGACGACAGGGAATTTCTCTTCTCACCTTCGTAGTTCTTAACACAATTAACTACAGCAAGCTAAAATCGAATTAGTTCGATCGGATGCTGCTTAATTTCGTTGATTCGACTGTACATCGAGCTATCAGTTCTCGGAGTGAGTCCGAACAATGACCGACTTTTTACAGATCGAATAAAGTTGGAGCTGCTTTTCATCTTTGTTTCTCTCTATAGCTCCCTATTTCTTTTCTCTTAGTTGATCCTTCTCGTACAATAGTAACTCTCGCTTAATACAAGTCACGAGCTGGAAATGTAAATCGTGTATGTGCGAAAACAATAAGTTGTTTCGAAGTCAACGCGCTCGTGTTTATTTCAGTAAAACCAAATGATTTTACCCGAAGGAAGAGAGAAATGTTTGATTTCGCAGTGTGCTTCAAAGCGCAGTGTATCTTGAAATTAATCGGAAAATTGGACGCTAAGAGATGAGATTCTTCCACTCTAAATCAAACACTTTACTAAAAATTTGATCGCCTAATATTAAATGTCTTCTATTATATATATGATATGATCGTTCGTTTATTCATTTTTATACACTGCATTGAAAAAAGAACCTGATGGTTAGATTAATTGGAAGATTTCTGGTAGATTCATATCAGAAATCTGGTAGATTTCTAGTACGTCTATTCAAAAACGAACAAAATCAGAATTTTTGTTAGCATTACCGAATGAGTAAGATTAATTTCTTCCTGTTAAATCTACCAGAATTTTTTTGTTAATCAAGTAAATTTTTTTCGTTAAATATTCTTCTTCAAAATTTCTTGTTAGTCGAGTACTGCCTTCATGTTAAATCTATTAGAATTTCTCGTTAATCGAATAAACTTTTCTCGTGAACTACACTTACAGAATTTCTTTTGATCAAATAATATCATTTTTCCCATTAACTATAAATGTATTCCATTTCACGCATAATTATTTATTTATCCTTGTTGTTCATCGTAATGTAAACAAGGATAAATGACCCCCATGTGCATCATGCGTGAAATAGTTGAATATATTCTATAACGTACTTATAAAACATACTTATATAATTACAAAAATCTAAATAACTGTATTACAATAATTTTCAAAATGTCTATTTTTTTAAATTATACATTGGCGAGGAAGAGAAGACATTTTTCAGCTATGTCCCTGATGAAAATGTAAAGCTTGTCGAAGCGTAAACAAAGAAATGTGAACAAAGAATTTTAACATTTCTTAAACACTTCATTAATTTTCCATTAACTCTTTGTAGTTATGAATATTCATACACGCTCCACGAACTCTCCCCAAATACTCCGTAAAATGTGCCCAAAACACATCTGTCACATTTCCTTCACGTTAAAAAAATTTTTTTTTCATTAACGTGTCTCATACGCTTCTCTTCAACACTCCGCAAAGAATGGAGCGTATTGATACACTTTCTAAACACTTTATTCATTAGTGCTTTGTCTATTACTTCCTAAACATTCGGCAAAAAGTACACGAAGCATTCAAATACGCTTTGTGTACGCTTTCAGGATATGGAGATACAAAAATTTATTTTAAAACGGAGCGTTATTGAGCTGTATAGCGAACGTAAACAAAAAAAGTTGAGTAGTACGCGGCACCGCCTCCAGAGAGGCTTAGCGAGAACTAACTTCTCGAATTTAAAAAACTGCACAGACTAGGATAAAAGAGGATTTTGAAAGATTTTTCAGTTGTGTTCTAATAAAATAATTTTTTGAAGTGGGCCTTCCAAGAAGAAAGCATTTTTTTTTAGATATTTGAATAAATAATTTTAAAATATCATTTGTTTACCAAGGATTACATTTCATTCACGTTCGTCTCAGAACTCGACGATGCTCCGTTTACATTTAACGAACATTCTGCTCGTGCTTGCCTATACTATATAAGAACTTATCTATACTTTTATTTATGTTTCTTTAACGTTTAGTTGACGTTTCCTTTCCATGTTTCAATTTTCGCTTCTTACGCTACTTTTATTTACATTTCTGTTACTCCCTCCTTCAATTAACGTTTTATTGTACCCTCGTTTTACGTTTTATTTTCTCCAGAGATATCACTTCATTCCATTTGTTCCAGTTCTTAATCTCTTTTCGTTTTTCGACCTATTCAAGTAAGTCATAAATCATGACTTACTATTAGAACCTTTTTCACCGACCCCGATTAACTCTAATCGATAGTCAACTCAATTACCATGATTACCAACATGAGAATTACACATAGAAGAGGAAAAAAGAAGAGACGTTCTGATACATTAAATTGCTGTTAGCACTGTGAGTTAATCGTCATCGTTAATTTAACTAGAAGTTAATGAAAGAGGCCCTTAGTTGATCCAACTAATCCGGTAATTGTTCCACTTCGTTTCCACTACAAGATACTACACATGACACAAAATGATTTAAACAATATATGTTCATCTTTGCCTTTGTCCGACTCGCAATAAACAATGGCTGCGTTCAGCAAACTCAACAGTTGAGTGAGCGCTTACTATTATTGCTGTATTCTTTTATATCATCCAATCATTTTAAATCTGAAAGAATATATAACAGAACTGCTAGGATGCACTAGAATGTGGTTAACATCAACTCAAAATCTTCTGATAATGTTGTGTATGTCTAATAAATATAATTTGAAGTTTTATAGATCCAACAGGAAAATATTAAGCAAATTCTTACAGTATAATCGCTTAAAGTATTTAGATACTTATCAACACATTCCTTGAAATCTTACCTATTCATATAGAATGTAGATATTGAATCTTTTTAGTTTGTTGATGGCTTTGTGTTTTGGCTCCGAAATTAAAGTTGAACACTCTACTAACCGTTCTAATAAAATTTCAAGTCTTAATAATCAAAAGTTCTGCTTAGTTAATCGAAATGTGTTCAATTATATAAATCTTGTTGATACAAACGAATCATTTTTTCTTAGTGCAAAAAGATATATAAATTAAGTTAAATACAAAGTTCTGCTATAGATATTTTGTATATTCGATCCTGCGCACCTTAATTTTTCTAGAAACACTAGAAAAATATTCATAAACATTAAAAAAGACAAATATATGATGAAATGTTTCCGCATTTGTAAGATTGAAGCTTAGTATATAGTAGAAAAGTCTTTTTTCTTTTAATTCAACTTTAGATATCGTGATATTTCTGACAATGAAAAATCGATTGCAAAAGGAAGTCGTAGAACTGTGAATAAAGTAAAGTGCGATAGTTCCGACACATATTGTTATACATTTTCAGGTACAAGTACAGATATCTATAAAATTTGGATATAGTTGCTTCAGTTCTTTCTTCTATTTTCGCACTTTCTCGTTTTTCCAAACACGTGACAATCTCGACGAAAGAATAAACAAGAAACATCGTGTTCACCCGGATGAGTATTTCACGCCTTTTCTCCGAGATATCTAGAGATATCATGCTCGACTGATTTAAACGAATAGAAATAGTGAGGAAAATTGAACGAAAACTAAATTAGTATATTTAAATAAGTAACTGCTTCTTAGTAGAACAATTTTGACAGAAATGTCTTTTGACATTTTGCAGGTTATTGTTTAAACGATTAACAATCAAAGAAATGGAATCTTTTTATTGTATAAAAAGCGTCTTCTTTACAATGATGGACAACATAGAATTACAAGTTATAAATCCATAAAAGTATTTAGCATTTTAATTTTGAAGTATTATTTAAAATGAAAAAAATTTGCATTAATCTCTATTAGCAATGAAAATATTCAAGATGGTCAGTACAATTTTATATAATTTTATATAATTTTATATAATTTTTATATAATTTTATTAGATAAAAAATAATTGATGTGGAAAAGTTCTGATAATAAAATTTTCGAAAAGATAGAATTCCATCCTTGAGCAATATATCCCATTTTATCCCATGACGATATCGTGTCAGAATGATAATAATTGAATTAGTAGCAGTCATCAGCAAAGATCGCTTCCGTTATTCCATTATTGATAATTTAATTAGTGTTCGGCCTCTCTGGTTACATGCAAAACACGGAAGATTATCAAGGTTTAATTGGAGTAATTTTTCAATGAGAAACGTGAAGCATGAGATTTGCTAAAAAATGAAACCTAAAATTCTTTTCGTTATCTCTTAATTAATAGCGACTTCTAATTAGTAATGAATTTCTGTTCTGAATTTAATAACTCGCCGGTTCGCATAAAGAAGATACGGCAGTGTCTCACGCCATGTTTAGCAGATCTCCAAATATTTTGTAGAATTATAGATCATTAAGAAAAAAATTTTTTTGATATGCAATATTTATATCAACTAACATTCTGTATATTTTATTACATGATTTTGTGTTAAATATTTTATATCTCTTCATACAACAGCAAGACTTAGAAAAAATATTGAGAGATCAAGATGAAAGCATTTCACACACGCACGTGCACGCATGCACGCACGCACGCACGCACGCACGCATGCATGCACAAATAATGATCTTTTTTAAAAGTCTTTATATTATCGAAGAGAGGAGTAAAAGTATATAAACACATGTAGATGTGTTATACATTTAAATGTAAAACAAAAAAGATACTTTTACATGTAAAACAAAATATTTAGTGCACAAAATCGAGAAAACTTTTATTTCAATTATACAGCAGATAATGCATCAGCTTAATACAACGCATTCTCACTGTTTTGGTCTCAGAAATTATTTGCAGTTGTTGAAAAATCATTTGTTAAAAAATAAAAAGGTAAAAATTACTGGAGGGGGAGAGAAACGCTCTGCCCTCTCTAAGTCGGCGTCTATATTATTTGTTAAGTTTGAAGATTTGCATATTATAAAATCGAATTACAGTACAGTTCGGATAAATTCGGATTTCAGGATCGCTCCGCGATTTTAATAGCTACATGTACCGAATTGGAACTCGTTCATTCGACATCGACATAGCTAAATGAGACTATTCTTTGATACAGGTTCAGCGGTAGCAATGATAGGAGCTAATCTAAGATTCGGCATCGGCGCTTCCGGGAATGTCACGTCCAACGCCACCAAGGTATTCCAGTGTCACCCTGGTGGTGTGACCGAGGCCACTGTGATATTTAGCCTCGGTGCATTGGGGATGGGGGCAAATATTATCCTCATGACGTTGATACTAGCGAAGCGACAGCTGCGCAGGTATGAAGCGATAATAATCCACCAAAGAACGGCGCTTTGTGATCACCCCATGCTTTGCATGGACTGATCCGGGAATAACGCTCGGAAATTATCGCGTTATGACCCGTTATATATGCGAAACAAAATCGCTTCCTACGGCATATCGTGTTGCAAAAACTATACAACCGTGATTTTTCACAAATAGAAAAAAGGATGCTTTGCAATATAAAAAGCACATATTCTATCACGCATAATTACATCTGTCTTATGGCCTATATATTCAAACACATTGTAAATTTAATGCATTCGTTTGAAAAAAACAGATTATTGCACGAAAACAAATTTGTTTTATCGTGATTCCTTACATTTTCCAATAAAATTTACAGAGCTAATGGCACGTTTAATTCTCTACCACACATAGATTCTAATCTCGCGTAAGAGTATTTTGACTTGTTGAACTTGTTCAATACGTGAACAGGTAACTATATTGTGGCCCGATAACCATCACGTTCTGTTTACTGAATAAAATCTCGATCATATGTTATATGCTTGTCAAACAAAATATTGTCTGATCGATACGCGAAACATAATACACGTGATAGCCTGCGGTGTGTTTTAAATGTGATATCGATTCTTTAGAATGTACCTCGTTATCAATTTAAAACTGATCTTTTTTAACGAAAACGATATATTCTATGAATTTTGAGATTACTGGTAATTACAAATAAAATGTATAGATTTTTCACAATTTAAACTGTGCACATTGAAATAAATGTTTTAAAATTAACAAAAAAGAAGAGCGTAAAACCACAGTACAAGTTCTTTGTGATATTTAATATGTAATTAAGTTTATAAATTATTTAGACGTTTCGGCCACAATCTGGCCATCTTCAATAAATTTACAAATATCAATAAAAACACAGAATTTATATAAATTTAATGGTCATAAGTATTATTAGTAAAATAGTATTATTAGTAAAAATTAAATTAAAAAAATTCAATGATATAATTATAAATCAACGCTTTCTTTCCTCTTGTACGAATAAAACGTACATAAAACGTGGTTGCTGAGCCAATTGTCATATTGCAAATTATGTAGAACGAGAATTACCAGATTCTAATTTTAAAATAATTATAGTATCGTTAATATCTTCTAGTCAAATTGATAAGGATTAACAATTCGTTACCTATTTTACAGCAAAATGAATCTTAAGTAGTTCCTTCACGCAGATGGAAACTCGTCGTGACATTGTATATTATTATTTGTCAATACATTCATGTGTTCGCTATTTATATGTGCGTCAAAAGTTTAGATTATTTTAAAATTATTTTTAAGTATGAGAGAGATCTTCCTTTAGAAAAGACAAATAAACATGAGTGTCACTTTGCTTATTTATACTACTTATTTGACTTTTTATATAAATTATCTCAGAAATTCTTCTTTTGAATAATGATTGTTCTGTGTCTAAAATTCTAACATTATCTCAATCCAATGCTTCTTATTAACTTGATGGCATGAGACTATTGATGTACATATCAATAGATCTTCTTATATCGACCTTATGTTCTTTCAGTCATGTTTTAAGTTTTCTTTTTGTTTGGCCGATGTAAGAAGATTCACAATCCAAACAATTTATACACCACACTACAATGGTCTTCTTTACATAAGCGATTTTTTATAAATCTATTAAGTTTGTACGCAATATTAAAGCCATGATAATTGTGTGATAATTTAACTGTGTGATAATTTATTAAATTTTTCCGAAACTTTACTTAAACATTGTATTACAAAATAACAATGGTATTACAAAAAAACTTCTTTATTAAATAGATTTATTTCTTTATTAAATTTCTTTATTAAATTAGAGTTGTTTTCCTTATTATTACAATCACTATTTTCTAAATTGATTCTATTTTTCTAAAGCTTTTCTATTTTTAATTATTGAAAAAATGAATTCAAGCGGATAACTATTAATTAAAAAAGTGTGAACTAAATTTGAAATATTTTTTAATTTGAAATATTTGAAATGAAATTTTAGATGGGATAAAAACAATATTCTATCTAACTGCCCGATGATTATACCCCTTTTGTGCACTATTGGATGATTAGAATAATATTAGGTGTACAACTTTGCTTCCGCCGTTTTCCTATAGATGGCTTTAGCGGTAAGTGGTGATCGAAATAAATAGATCATAGACGTCATACAATAAACTTGGACATCTGTCAACATAATCCCATAGAAACATTAGTCGATTTGGGTCTGCATCATAAAGTTATTCTCGATTGAAAATGTCAGTTTACGAGCCAAATTCTCGTCATTTGCGAGAGGTTTTAATTTTTTGCTTCAATATGAAGAAATCTGCGGCTGAAGCTCATCGAATGCTCTCAAATACTTATGGTGAAGCCGCTATTAGTGAAAGAACGTGTCGTGAGTGGTTTCAACGCTTCAAGAATGGTGATTTTGACGTCCAAGGTCATGCTCTGTATTTGGTGGGACCAGCTCGGCGTAGTGTATTATGAACTGTTAAAACCGACTGAAACAATCACAGGCGATCGATATCGAAACGCAATTGATGCGTTTGAGCCGAGCATTGAAAGACAAACGGCCGCAATACAACGAGAGACACGATAAAGTGATTTTGCAGCATGACAATGCTCGATTCCATGTTGCGAAAGTGGTCAAGACATACTTGGAAACGTTGAAATGGGAAGTCCTACCTCACCCGCCGTATTCTCCAGACGTTGCTCCCTCTGACTATCACTTGTTTCGATCAATGGCACACGGCCTGACTGACCAGCACTTCCGGTCTTATGAAGAAGTAAAAAATTGGATCGATTCGTGGATAGCCTCAAAAGATGACCAGTTTTTTCGACGCGGGATTCGTACGCTATCCAAAAAATGGGAGAAAGTAGTGACCAGCAATGGACAATATTTTGAATCATAAATGTATAACCAGTTTTTTACAATAAAGCCTCGAATTTCGGAAAAAAACGGCGGAAGCAAAGTTGTACACCTAATAATTAATCTCCTTAAATTAGTTGATTTTTTTATATATATTAAAAATAATTTTTCCTTCTTGTTTCATTCAGTTTTACATCTAAAAAATTAATACCATTTTCATCGCCAAAATCTACTGTGAGTCTTATCCTATCATGATACGAATTAAACAATTCAAGTTAAAATATCTTCCTTTATGTTTATGCACAAACAATACAACGTGTCGTGAGTGATTTCAACGCTTCAAGAACGGTGGATTTTGATTTTGACATCCAAGATCTGTATTTGGTGAGACCAGCTCGGCGTAGTGTATTATGATCTGTTAAAACCGACTGAAACAATCACAGGCGATCGGTATCGAACGCAATTGATGCGTTTGAGCATTGAAAGACAAACGGCCGCAATACAACGAGAGACACGATAAAGTGATTTTGCAGCATGACAATGCTCGACCCCATGTTGCGAAAGTGGTCAAAACATACTTGGAAACGTTGAAATGGGAAGTCCTACCCCACCCGCCATCGACATAACGGAAATAAAAAGACGCAACAATATTGTTAGAATTTCTTATTCTAAATCGTGTAAAACAATGTTCGCTAATATAGGGGAAAGTGGAGAACCCATTGGCATTCCAAAAATCTGTTTAAAAATTTTTTTGTCCTTTTATTTGTAATATAAATGTATATATAAAGAGGACTATTGTAGTGTGGTGTATAAGATAAATTGTTTGGATTGTGAATCTTCTTACGTCGGTCAAACAAAAAGAAAATTTAAAACATGAATGAAAGAACATAAAGTCCACATAAGAAGATCCACTATCGATATGTCAATAGTCTCACGCCACCAAGTTAATAAGAAGCATGAATTGGATTGGGATAATATTAGAATTTTAGACACAGAATCATTATTCAAAAGAAGAATTTCTGAGATGATTTATATAAGAAGCCAAACAAGTAGTATAAATAAGCAAAGAGATACTCATGTTTATTTGTCTTTTCTAAAGGAAGATCTCTCTCACACTTAAAAATAATTTTAAAATAATCTAAACTTTTGACGCACATATAAATAGCGAACACATGAATGTATTGACAAATAATAATATACAATGTCACGACGAGTTTCCATCTGTGAAGGAACTGCTTAAGATTCATCATTTTGCTGTAAAATAGGTAACGAATTGTTAATCCTTATCAATTTGACTAGAAGATATTAACGATACTATAATTATTTTAAAATTAGAATCTGGCAATTCTCATTCTACATAATTTGCAATATGATAATTGGCTCCACAGCAACCACGTTTTATGACGTTTTATGTACTCGTACAAGAGGAAAGAAAGCGTTGATTTATAATTATACTTGTGACCGTTGAATTTTAAATTTATGTAAATTCTTTTTATTGATATAAATTGATTGAAGATGGCCAGATTGTGGCCATTTAAATGATTTATAAACTTAATTAACTATTATTAACTTAATTACATATTAAATATTACATATTAAATATTATAATTACATATATATTATCGCAAAGAACAACTTGCTGTGATTTTGTGCTCTTCTTTTTGTTAATTTTATGATTAAAAAAAAATCACGTTTGTTATAATTATATAAATGTTTTAAAATTTAAGTTTAATTAACAAAGTATTATCTAATGCTAAATACTCATAATAAGTAATGGATGAAAATAATACTGAAATATTCATTAAAAAAAAATACATTCCATTCGATATCATATTTTAGAAACATTCTATTTGTATTCATGAGTTTTTTAATTGCAAATTAAAATGCCTTCAATAATTTCGTTACTGAATTTACTGCAATTAAATTGTCGGAGGCGTATCTTGTAAGATGCAGTAATGTATTAGGTGTACAACTTTGCTTCCGCCGTTTTTTTCCGAAATTCGAGGCTTTATTGTAAAAAACTGATTATACATTTATGATTCAAAGTATTGTCCATCGCTGGTCATTACTTTCTCCCATCTTTCGAGTAGCGTACGAATTCCGCGTCGAAAAAACTGGTCATCTTTGGAGGCTATCCACGAATCGATCCAATTTTTTACTTCTTCATAAGACCGAAAGTGCTGGTCAGCCAGGCCGTGTGCCATTGATCGAAACAAGTGATAGTCAGAGGGAGCAACGTCTGGAGAATACGGCGGGTGGGGTAGGACTTCCTATTTCAACGTTTCCAAGTATGTCTTGACCACTTTCGCAACATGGGGTCGAGCATTGTCATGCTGCAAAATCACTTTATCGTGTCTCTTGTTGTATTGCGGCCGTTTGTCTTTCAATGCTCGGCTCAAACGCATCAATTGCGTTCGATACCGATCGCCGGTGATTGTTTCAGTCGGTTTTAACAGTTCATAATACACTACGCCGAGCTGGTCCCACCAAATACAGAGCATGACCTTGGACGTCAAAATCACCGTTCTTGAAGAGTTGAAACCACTCACGACACGTTCTTTCACTAATAGCGGCCTCACCATAAGTATTTGAGAGCATTTGATGAGCCTCAGCCGCAGATTTCTTCATATTGAAGCAAAAAATTAAAACCTCCCGCAAATTTGGCTCGTAAACTGACATTTTTAATCGAGAATAATTTATGATGCAGACACAAATCGACTAATGTTTCTATGGGGTTGACAGATGCCCAAGTTTATTGTATGACGTCTATGATCTATTTATTTTGACCACCGCTAAAGCCATCTATAGGAAAACGGCGGAAGCAAAGTTGTACACCTAATAGGATTAGGAAAGTCAGAGGTGAGAATAATAGTAAATATATTTATTCTGGGATTCACAGGTGGTCCCAGGGACTGTTATTTCATCAAGCCATGGTAGATTGTGCGAGAGCCGCTATACTATTGCCCTTAGGTTCCAGTATATTGAATTGTCAGCCCGTTAACAAGTGTTCCTTGGTAGAGACCGCCTTTCTGTTGCTAGTGACCGTTTCCACAGTAAATATGCTAACGACCGTATTAAATGACAGTCCGGTATTCCCAGAGGGCGACGAAGAGGCAGATCTGACCGCTCCCTTGCTGATGGATTCACCCCAAGTAAGAATTATAATATACGTCTTGTTAAGCTAATATCCGTGCTTTCTATTTGCATTTGATATTTCTATGATTTTCTCAGATGTGTCATTAGATAAATTAGTGTATATTCGTGCGTAACTCTTCCCCGAGTCTTAACAACTAAGTTTTAACTTATCTCTCAATTCTCAGCATTTAGCCAATTTGCAATTCACGACTTTCAATTCTCGATCTTCTCAATCGTCTCTTAACCCGTTGTGATTCAAGCTATTTCTCATAAATGAACAAAAATCAAATTTGTCCTCAACTTTAACCAATTGTAATCAGCTGGTTTACCAGAATTTAAAGAATTTTATTATTTGAAGGAATTATATAGGGATTATATAGGGTAGGATTGAAGCATCCTTAGGGGTAATACGAGCATAAGAAATTTTTTATAAGAAATCATGCAGAAATGAAAGATTAAAAAATATATATATATATATATATGAAACATTTTATTAGAACAAATGCCACTAATATACAGTGATTGCAAATTATGGCAATATAACACATTTTACTGCTAGAATTGCTATTGTATTATTAATATTGTTATCGTATGTTTTTCCATCTATTGCGTCCAATATTGCCAAGTATTGTTATAATATATCGTTATGTATTATATATTGTTAGCATATTTCTAGCGTATTGCTAACTGTTACTTGCCTGTTTTATTATTATACGCAATATATTTCTAAAGTACACTAATTGCCAGTGATTGATCTCTCATTAAACTTTTTCTTTCAGAATACGATAAGAAATAATGGAGATGCTCATAATATCCGATCATGCATATTTATCCAAAAAACTCCCGTGTCTAAATAATATATCAATAATGATCTCAGGACTTTATGAAGTTAGAATGGCTCAATATTGTTTACTTTACAAATATTAATATATATTATCACAAAATATTTTATCTGAATATAGATGGGGATCTTATGATGTTAGAGGAAAAACCGTGAGAAATAAAAAAATAACGTATCTGCTTATTTAATATGATAAACATCCGAAGTACATAAATTTAGATCAAACGTCGCAGCATATTAGAATGTCGCGAAGACATGCATCTTTCTACAACAGTTGGCACTATCAATCATTACATAAATATCAAGGATGCTCATATTACCTGCAGTGCTCATAATATTCGATTCTATCCTATATAAAGATCCCAAAAGTATAGTTTGCCAATCACATATAGATTTGAATATTCGAAGATTCATATAGATAGATTATTGCAATGCATATATTATGTCGAATCTAACTCGATAAAAAATTAAGCTTATATTTAGTATTACACTTATTCATCATCACAATTATAAACTTTAATCAATTATTGATAAATAAAATTATGTGTTCATGGTAGGCTATTAATCAAAAATATTTGAAATATGGACAAACCGCATGACTTTGGCTAACGCAGACTGCTGTTGTCCATCTTGCAAAATGAGAGAGAAATTTCCACCTAACCGCAGCATTGTGATAGCGAATTTAGCAGTGGCTGATTGCGGCAAACCGTCCATATCGCGGTATAGAGATATAGAAGTGAAAGCTGTCGGACTAAATCGGATTTTTCCAAGGAAAATTAATTGCGCTGGAAAAAGTATTAAGCGCACAGCTTAAGCTAGACATAGGAGGTTTCTTAATAAATTGTGATAAATCCAACTAGTTTACGGTTGTAAGGACAGAATTTTTTTTCACTATTCAATTTCATACGAACTTTTACATCAAATTTAATAAGTGCTCAAACACTAATAAAGGATGAGATCGAATAATGTTTCAGTTGCAATAATGAATACGTGTATATGCATGCATGCGCGCGCACGCGTGTTTTGTGTGTGTGTGTGTGTGTGTATGTGTGTGTGTGTGTGTAAAACTGATTTGATTTTCTCATAAACTATTAAATCCGTTCTTATTAGTGAATCTATTTTTATATATTAAATATTTTCCTTCAATTTCTGATTAAATTTTAAGCAAATTTTGTTTTTATGTTAATGTACCTACATCGAAAATTTAATTAAGAATTTAAATCACAAGACAAAATAAAAAAATATGATATCGAGAAAAAGGAATCTGTAAGTTATCAGATTGCACATTTCTAAAATTCGATACAAATCTTAAGAAAGATTCTGTATCATTATGGTATGACTCGAGACACTAAATTAGCGCATTTAATTCCTTAATGATTTGGCTTTCTTGTGCGTGTAGTAGCAGTTAGTTTCAAATTAATTTAATGTAATAACTTGCACATCTAATGACACTCGACTCGCTTTCGTAATAGAATCCTGCTGGTTCGTTAAATATGCGAGATGTGTCTATTATTATGTATCTCTCACGACAAAATTGCATTGTAGCTTTACAAACATCGAAATAATTTCTGCAATTATTTAAAATGTCAATTATTAATAATGTATGTTCTACTTGATTTTACATTTTAACTTAAGGATGTTATGTATTTCCAAAATGATATTATAATGATAACAAAATTATATTATACGAAAAAGTTGTAGATTATTATAAATCATATTTAAAAATATGACAAATTTTGGTTATGGTTTACTATCTGGATCATAAGTTATTTTAATAAATATAAAGCATAAAATTGTAATAAATTTTATATTAATGAATATAAATATAAAATTTAGTAGTATTTTTTAAATCTCTGCTCTAACAAAATGTATGGAAATGTATTATAAAATGAATAACAAAAATTTCAACTTCTTTATATAAGTGTAGTATGTATTCAAAATTATTTATGTAAAGTTACATTGCGATGCATTAACTGATTGTCCAATAAATAAACAAAACAATATTTATTTGTTCTGTATCTTTGTAACTAACAAGTGAATCACAATAACAAACTTTGCATAAACTATTTTGAATATTTAAAATACTTATAAAAAAAATTTAGACTTTTGTTATCATTTCTTAAATTTTACTTCATAACAATAAAAATATTAGGTGTACAACTTTGCTTCCGCCGCTTTTTCCTATAGATGGCTTTAGCGGTAAGTGGTGATCGAAATAAATAGATCATAGACGTCATACAATAAACTTGGACATCTGTCAACATAATCCCATAGAAACATTAGTCGATTTGTGTCTGCATCATAAAGTTATTCTCGATTGAAAATGTCAGTTTACGAGCCAAATTCTCGTCATTTGCGAGAGATTTTAATTTTTTGCTTCAATATGAAGAAATCTGCGGCTGAAGCTCATCGAATGCTCTCAAATACTTATGGTGAGGCCGCTATACGAAAGAACGTGTCATGAGTGGTTTCAACGCTTCAAGAACGGTGATTTTGACGTCCAAGGTCATACTCTGTATTTGGTGGGACCAGCTCGGCGTAGTGTATTATGAACTGTTAAAACCGACTGAAACAATCACAGGCGATCGGTATCGAAACGCAATTGATGCGTTTGAGCCGAGCATTGAAAGACAAACGGCCGCAATACAACGAGAGACACGATAAAATGATTTTGCAGCATGACAATGCTCGATCCCATGTTGCGAAAGTGATCAAGACATACTTGGAAACGTTGAAATGGGAAGTCCTACCCCGCCGTATTCTCTAGACGTTGCTCCCTCTGACTATTACTTGTTTCGATCAATGGCACATGGCCTGGCTGACCAGCACTTCCGGTCTTATGAAGAAGTAAAAAATTGGATCGATTCGTGGATAGCCTCAAAAGATGACCAGTTTTTTCGACGCGGGATTCGTACGCTACCCGAAAGATGGGAGAAAGTAGTGACCAGCAATGGACAATACTTTGAATCATAAATGTATAACCAGTTTTTTACAATAAAGCCTCGAATTTCGGAAAAAAACGGCGGAAGCAAAGTTGTACACCTAATAATAAATAAAATAAATTATAAAAATTCATTGTTCAATAAAAACGGAATGTTTTAAACCTAACTTTTAAATATTGTATATATTAGACTGACATGGAAAAAAAATTTTTTTTTTAATCAGCCTCTCACTAGAGACCATCTCGGTTTGTACAAGTTAATGAAAATTAATCTTGATATTAATAAAAATTGACATAAGATATAAATTAAGGAAAATAGCGGGAGGGTATAGGTCGTAGGTTCCGATACATTTAGTGTTATAGTGCATGATACAAGTTCTAGAACAATTAATATCTCAAAAAATATTGATTTATCTAAAAAATGTTTGAAATAATAGGATTTTTAAAAAGTTATCAAATGAGATTAATTTGATCTTGGAATCACTTTAGAAAATGCTTTCAAAGTTAACATAAAAATTTTGAACGAAACTCCCTATTTTTCATAGCATATTTTTATAGTTGACGTTAAGATGTTTGAACACTGGCAAACCTTATTTACAAATCTTTTCTTGATAAGAACTTTCCGAGTTATGACATTTGACAGTTATAGTATCACCAGCAATAGCATTACTCAAGATGTCTGATCGATGATTGAAACCTCTTGAATATTGCTCAAAATCATGTTCTGAAAAACATTTGTCAAGGCAACTGGAGATTATTCATCTTATTTTCATTTTTGCACTAAAAATTCATTTTTATGTATCGAAGTTGCAATTCTTGTACGATTGCAGAGGTTAAGTATCGTTGGATGGCGTACAAAATTGGATGGAAATTCCGCTTAGGAAAATAAGGAAATTAATTCCCAAATGAAAGGAAAGCGTTTTTTTTTTATAATTATAATTTTGTCGTGTGTGTTCTGAAATATGTTAATCAATAATATTTATTTTATTAATAAAAAAATTGAAATAATTAATATAAAAAACATTTTTTATGTCTTACAAACATTGCAATTCAACGGATATTAAATGATTCTGCAACTCTGCTACTTCAACATTGTATCTACATTTCACGATTTTACTCCAATGTTTGCAATGTTGCAAATCAACGTTTCTGAGATACTGATTTAATGTTCATGTGCTATATGGGTTTACATTTAAATTAGAGTGTACGATGACTTGATGACTTTAAGTGCGCAC